ATCTGCTCCTGCGCATGTTAAAAGTTTGCAAAGGTGGCCCTGGCATGGAGCCTCCCATGGAGCCAGGACGTAGGTGTCACCATGTCTGGGTGATGCAGGCCAGGAAGACGGTTACGTGAAGTGATGATGGGCGAACAATGTGTGTGGAGACGCGGATAACCAATGAAGTGATTGTGCGAGGAGACCGAGCCAGAAAGCTGCAAGAGACCGATTGGCACTACAAAATCTCGAAACTAACCACCGGCGTCCGTAGCACAATCCGGTACGTCAGAGCGCTACTTATTGCCGAGTCCATTGGTTCGTACGTCGGCGTGGCGTGCAGCCTCGTCAATCTGTGGTGGACAGTATAGGTGCCTAAATGTGAAAGTATTAGAGCACAGGCCCGAAGAAAACCCCGTCTCGGCAAAATTAGAAGGAAATCACCCTTTTTTTTCATTCAGTTCATTCTGAAAAAGTTCTTAACCACCAAGCTGGTTTTACAGCAAAAACTCTTATGAGATCACAACTCGGGTCTCGCGCAGCGCCGTAGTTGTCCGCTGCCGCCGCCGCCGCCGCCGGTGTCCGTAACCACAACGCGCAGTTAGAAAAAAAAACTCTAGTACCAATGACACAGTGGGGCTTCAACCCAGGTCCGCTGGGTGCCAGCCCAGTATTCTACCACTGAGCCCCACCGGTGCTAGGGACTTGTTGGCAAACTTGCCTTAGGCAGGCTTGATGTCGGGAAAGCAATCGCGTTAATACGGCTTATAAAGCATTTCAAAACAGCAAAAAAACAACCAGTCGTCGCACAATGCGAATAGCGTAACGAGTGGGTCGTCCAATGCTCCAATCCATCACAAAAGCTTGTCCTTGTTCACCTTATTACCTGTGGCGCATACCCACTTCAGGCATAATTCCTCGTCGTCGTCAGCCACTGCATGAACAATTGGCACAAAATGCCTCGCAATAGTTTAGCGAATATCACGCTTCTCAGAAGAATGGCGAAAAATAGCATAGCAAATGCCAGCCTACTACCATAAATTTTTTATTATTAATGCCGTAGTGGGCATCAAGCAAGTGTGCTCGCAGCAATTACTCATTGAGTGTTTAGAAAATGCTCTGAAAGGCCACTCTTCCAGCTTTCGCTGTGACTGTGCTGCGCCGTCCTCGCAGGCCTGGTGTGTTGTTGTTTTTAATTCGGCTGTATGATAAGCCGGAGTTCTATGAGTATTCTTTGGGGAATCGACTTTTTTTTCTGCGAAATCGGGAGCTTCGTAACATTTGATATTGCTAGATCGAGCTTTAACTATATATTTTTGTATCATCTATTAGCAAATGGCTGGATATGTAGCTGTGCAATATACCCAGTTGCCACCATGCGCGTATTCATAACTGCTGGGCCGATAGCTGAGGCTCCATTTGATACACATAAGAAGGATGCACTCAGTGCAGTGGAGATCGAGACAGCTCTGGGCATGATTGCATCAGTGGTTGTTCACCAAACACTTTCGGAGTTCCGTGCTTACTCTCGCGTAACGTCCTCACATAGTGTGCAGAAACGAAGGGATTATGGTACTTAGCCTCTGACCCAGACTTTCAAGCGACCTTTGTCCTTGGACATTGCCTATAATGGGCTTCCCGGCGTGACTGCTAAGCAACGAAGCCACGCCTCTGGCCACACTCAAAACCTAATGATCCTCTTAAATCCTTCCGTGGCTCGCCTCTCAAACTCAGAACAACTGGAAAAGCCTGAGCGCCTTCTTCCTCTACTGCTGCCCTCAACCAAACTCCATTTTCTCATCTCGTGTCTTTTTTTTTTTTTTTTAGGCCCGAGAGCCTGAAAACCGTTCGTGCCACAGCGGCATACTAACGAGGAGAAGTGAAACAATGCCTACAGATGCTGGCGCCTGAAAGCAAGCACTAAATGCGTGCGCGTTTGCCGGCATGTATTGGTTCGTGGACGAGCAAGAGATGGGGCAAAGAAGCAAGAATAGAAACGGTGAGTGGAATAGAAGAGCGAGACTCGGGTGCGGCGCATGCTGCAACGCCGGGAGGGCGATGGGAGAAGCTACGGGAGGAAACGACGCGTGAAATGCCCTGCCGAAGAGCAGTGGCTTCGTTACAGAGCGCCACGCTTCTCATCATCATTCTTCTTCCACGCTTTTACTCCCTCCTCCATTCCTTTCCTCTCCGCGCTCACGAGTAAATCAATTGTTGCCTAGCCGGACGACTCCGCTCCTTTCACCTCGTGCGTGGCCAGCCGCGCGGTGGACAGTCATCAGGAGGAACCACGCAATAAGTGTAAAAAACGGGCCAAGAGCGAAAGTTTATAGTGTCTCACGAGACGAAAGACGAAGGTCCCTCCCTGTCCGAGTTCATGATCTCGAGGCGGCCCGCGCAGGGTGCACGGGGAGGCATTTCCGCTTGCGCCGCCAGCAGTGGTTGCATCGTGGCCGGCCCTCTCTCGGCCGACCGCAGCCCGTGACTGGAAGCTCGCAAAACAGAGCGCCGCCATTGTCTCCTCTCGCACGCATTGCCCGACGCGCTCCGTTGGATCGTGAGCGCGGTCAGGGTGCGCGGAACGCCACAGGTGCCATTCTTCTCGGACCCTCTCGCCGGCCAGACGATTTCAAGCGTTTCGGTGGAGACGATGCGTGATTTTGTTACATGACCACGCAGTCCTGGAAACAGACTTTGAGAAATTCTCGACGATTTCTTTCTTTCTTTCACCACTTCTCCTGCGAATACTTGCGTGTCGCGTGTTATTCGTGCGAACATACAAAAGTATATGCAGGCACATGCACCCCCCTCCCCCTCCGACCAGCGTGATAATTCAATAACCGACTGTGAATAACATTTGCACTCTCGCTGGCGTTACAGCTGGTCGTGGTTAAGCGATGTAAATTGTCGCGACCAAATTGGCTACCGCTGGAACGGGATGACAGGAGGGCCAGGAGTGAAGCCAGAAGTTTGAGAGACACGTAATGTGACCGGAGACAATGACGTTTTGTTTCATGTGCGCAACGCGAAGTTCATAATTTAAATAGTGTACAGATCCCAGGAACGCCAAAAAACAGAAGATAAGGTGTCGAATAAAGCACACGTTTCCCGTAGATCTGACCTTTGCATTACATCCCTGGAAATTCACAGCGTGAACTTGACCACTGAAACTTTTTATATAGGGGCTGTAGTGATCCATTCACGGTAAATTTTAAATAAATTAAGTGTGCACACACAAGCAAACACGCACTTTTGGGGAACAGGCAAAGCCCCACATCGCGTTATCGTGCTGCCCCAACGTCAGCAAAAACAAAATCGTTAACTTCACGCTAATTTAATGCACAGGTCACGCTATTATGCGCAGTTATATGGAGTAATTAGTGCTAAGCTTAACGGTGCTTCATTAAATTTATCTATTAGGTCAGGCGTCTCCCACTTGGTGTCTCCCAATTAGGGTGTTGATAAGGAATGTTGTAGCTGCGTGACAACACCATACTATGCACGTTTATTCATTTTGTTGACCCTTACGAAGGCTGTATTAAGATCTATCTGATAGTCTCCTGCCGCTAATTCGAACTGACGCTCTGGTCCTGACACAGTCCTGTGTATCTCTACGGGCAAAAACTACCGACAATTCGAACGCCTCGGTATCAACAACGGTGAATTCGTGGTTTCTCATTGCTCCTCGCACAAGTCGGACCAGAGTGATCATAGTGCGTTGCAAAACCAAGCCAAACCAACTTTACTAGAGTCCACCGCAGTGGTGTAGCGGTTAGGGTGCTCGGCTGCTGAACCGAAGGTCACGGGTTCGATCCCGGTTGCGGCGGTCGCATTTAGATGGAGACGAAATGGTAGGCAAGAGGCGCGTGTTCTGTGCGACGTCAGCGCACTTTAAAGAACGCCAGAAAGTCGAAATTTCGGAGCCCTGCACTACGGCGTCTCTCATAATCGTGTCGTGATTTTGGGACGTAAAATCCCCGATATTGTGTTAAATTTACTAGGAATGCAGACCAACGAAACACCAGCATTTATCAGCAGATGAGAATTCAACGCTGCGCTAGAGCTTTTAATTGCGCAAGCTGCAAGCGATGTTCATGGAGTCGCAGCAAAATGAAAAAAATTGGAATTTTTTATTACATTTATTTTTGATTGCGTCAACTATGTAATTTAAATAAAGGCGTTTTGGAGGGTAAATGGCGTCATATATTTCTACATTAAGGCTCACTGCTCAGATGAATGCATGTCGGTGCTTGTTTCCGGTGTATCACTGACTCATCAGATAATCATGTTTGCTGTTAAAACTTCATTAATTTAATTTGTAAAGATCATCTGCAGTCGAGTAGTACCGCCTAGTCCGCCATAGCTGCTCCTGAGTTGGCACTTTGGATTCTACCCGTGCAGTGTGGCGCGATGTGCGTTTTTTCTGTGCGTGCCCGCAAATTCGACTTCCACAAAGTTCGAACAATTTTATAGTCTTCTTCGAGTTCGAATTTTACGGTATGATAATTAACGAACAACAAAACTTGCGATGTATCACTACTCTTTATTGCTTTGAAAATACTGTGTAGGATGCTTTCAGAGTGCATCCTGAAGTTTTGCTGGATGATGAGAACATCATCAGGTGTTTTATGCGGGTTTCATTCCAGCACTGTTAAGTTATTCACCATATTTGCTGTTTGAATTTCACTTGCAGTCACCATGAGTGGACGTCCACCCTAAATAAAGATTTTTTTTTCAAGGGTAGCAAAGCGTGCTAATCGTGACAGCCACCACTTCACGATGGTTCTGATCAATGCACATACGCTTCTTATTCTAACAATTGGCTCATTCCGATGGTTAGCGTTATTCCAGGGGCGTGCAACTGCATTGCTTCCTTTGAACACAAAAGTTCTAATTTTGTTCCAACTGCAGATAGGCATATTCCTCTATACCGTTCGTATCGAGTACTCAGACAATTTGTAAGTCAACCCGAAAAGACGGTATACGGGCGGTCTCAAGTATACAAGATAGGCACTGCTTACCTTTTTTGTTGGTCTTTTGGTAATTCGTCCCTGCATCACTTTGGGCTCCCTGATACGAACTGCACTGGAGTCGATCTCTTCGGTGTATGCGTCGAGTCGAGGCCGTATTGCTTGCTTAGACTCGTGTACTTTCACTGACGACACCTTAACCTCTTCCAGAGACGAATCACCAGAGGAGTCACTGTCATCCTGTTGCGTTTTCTTCGGCCAGCTTTCGGCGAATGAGCGTTCGAATGGACTACGATCACTGGGGCTTAATGGGAAAACAGGCACAGCTGCTGCGCCCAGCATATCATCAATGTCTTGGAATTTCCCAATGAAATGTTTCACTCGGTCCCCTGGAGAAAGCTTTTTGGATTGCGTGGGAAGAGAAGGTTTCTTAATGGCGCCTTTCTCGAACTGGTCTTCGAACTGTTCAAACGTCTCCGGTTCTTCGTCACTGCCGTACTTCAAGAGAGAATCAATGTCCTTGCAGGAACCTATAAATTTGGTCACCGGCTTCCGGCTATTCTTTCCCTGGTCGTTATGCCCTGAAGGTGCCGGTTGCGTTCTCACTTCTTGTTCGATTTTCTTCATCTCTGTGGGTTTTGCGGGCGCTACCGATCGTCTGCCTGCAGGAGGAATTCCGAACACAGTTCGTGTCTGTTCTGTTGAGCTCTGGAATTTAGTTTTTGGAACAGAAGTTTCGCTGGGTTGTTTGGCAGGAGCCGCAAAAGATGGAGCTTTGGGCGGCACTTCTACTGGCCTCTTCTCTGTTGGCGCTGGTGTTACCTGTTTTAGATCTCCGGAAAGTATTGTCCGCTGCGCTGCAAGGACAGAAGGGCTTTTCATGTGTCCCGACGAATCACTTTTGTTCAGCTCTCGTGACCGCCTGTAACTTTGCAAAAAAGAGTCGGGTGCTGGTGCCTTGGTAGCACTGTCCTTTCCTATGTCCAACGATGTCGGCCGCTGTGCAGGTGTTGGCAGCGGAAGAGTCCTTGGCGGAGTTGGTTGAGTTTGCGCTTTCTCTTGAGCTGCCGGAACCGAGGGTGTTATTATCGGTGATTTTGGTGGAATTGGTACGACGTGAAGTGGTCTCTCCTGAGCGGCAGGGTATGTTGTCAGTGTCTGTACAACTGGCTTAACCGGAGTTGCAGGTGTCTGTGTTTTATCTTGCGTTGATATAAACTTCGACGGGGTGTGCACTTCTGGCTTCGCTGGACTCACAGAGACAGGCACTTTTTCTTGTACTGCTGGAAAGAACTGCGTTGGCGCTGCCGACCTCGCTCGAACAGGTAGGTGTGTTTTCTCCTGTAGAGTTGAAACGTTCCCACTTGTTGACTGAACTTTCGTGGAAATTGTCGCAGGTTGCGCTACCGACGATTCCGGAGGTGGTGGCACAGGGAACACCCGAACCAAGGCCACGGGAGGAGGTGCCACAGGAACGGGCCTCACTCGAGCTGATGAGACGGCAGATGGTGGTGGTACTGGCACAGGCCGCACTCTAGGCGTTGAGATCGAAGTCTGCGTCACTGAAGTCGACGATGACGTTAGAACGCTACTCTGTTGGTTAGGTGCAACCGTAGTGGTGGGCCGCTGGCGACGAGTCACAGGTGTGTGCGGCTGTGCTACACTTAGGCTTTTGTTCTCATCAGTCTTTGAGTCAGTGCAGACAGATGGTGTAGGAATCCCGGAATGCGTCGGCCTGCTTCTTCTCATCGGTGGTGACTGGGTAACGGTAGGGGCAGTAGAAAACTGGGAAGCTAACCTATTCACTGAACTCACACTTGGATGACTGAAAGGGGACAATGGGGACGTCACAGATATACTTTGTTTTTCTTCAGCGGGTGTTTCTTCGACGACTGGCTGCTTAACGTATGGTACGGCTGTCCTGTTGGTGACCACTGGGCTTAGTAGAGTCGGACTTGTGACGCTTTGAGACGAAGAAGTCTTTGCAAGCTGGCAGGTTTCTGAAAATGTAGGTTTAGGGAAACTAGACGGTAAGCTTATTTCCTGCCGCCCCTCAGGGGAGTGCATGGCCTCAGCCTTTATTTCAGACTTACTTGCGTTAGTGGCCACTTCTAATGAGCGCCTAGGAGAAACATTTGCAATCTTGCGAAAACGGTCAGGGAATGTGCTTGAAGAGGATAACTCTCTGGACAAGGTATCGAGCGTCTTACTTGAGCTAGTGAGAATTGGAGACGCTGCTCTGGAAACAGAAGCTTCGTTAGACAGTTTTGTCTTGTCTTCTGTTTCATTTACCTCGTTTCTCTCGTTACCTTTAGTTTTTTCGGGAGTTCGAGGTCTGCCACTATCTGGCACTGAAACAGTGTTGTCATCTTGCTTTTCATGACTTTCGGTATCACTTTCTTCTGTTTCGCTAGATGTTTCTTCATCCTTTACTACATGCTTAGTATCTTGCTGGGCATCCTCTGAAAGCTTGCACATATTTTGCGTGTCTTCATTTTCGTTTACTTTCGAACTGTCACCATCAACTTCACTGGCACTTTCTTCGTCTTCATCACTTACTTCAGAACCTTCTTCCTCACTTTCTTTTCCCTTTGTTCGTTCAGGTGTTTCTTCCTTGTCGCGGAGCAGCTCCGAATTTCCTTTGCCTGGTGTGTCATCCACCTCAGCTTCTTTGACACGTGCTACCTCTGGAGTGTGCTGAGTGTCATCGACGTCCACACCTCCGCACGTTGTTTTTGCTTCGGCTTCGTCCTCAGAGCTGCTTACTTTTTCTTGCTTATGTACTTGTAATTGCACTTCATCACCAGGCTCTCCACTTTTCAATTCTACAACTTGCGCCTGTTCATCCACTTCATCTTCATCTTCATTGTCTTCCTCGTTATCCCCTTCGTCCTCTTCTTCATCTTCACTTTCGGATATTTCAGATTTTGCAGATTCAGATTCGCTTTTAAGTTGTTTAGATTCGCCTTCAGGAATGTCTGTGCTTGCAGCTTTTTCGACGTCACACTTAGTTTCGCCTTCCGACACCTCTTCCTCGCTAGTACTGTCAATTTCTTTCTCTTGGCGAACCTCGCTTATGTTTTTCGCTGTATCATCAATTTCGTTGTCTGATGAAGGAACGGCAGCTTCTTTTTCATCTCCACTAAAGTCAAGAGTCTTATCCTCGTCATCTTCATCTTCCTCATATTTCTGGCTTTCGTCAGATGACTCAACCTCCTCGTCGTCTTGATGCGTTGAGGCTTTGTCCTCCGCGGGAGCAGTCACTGAGGGCTCTGGCGACAAGTGATCAGCAGTTGGAACGGGCGTGACTGCTAGACTTTCTACTTCGTCTTCATTGTCTTCATCCTCGTCATCCTCGTCTTCATCGTCCCCTTCGCTCGTCGTGTGAGTAGACACGGTGACGTGTGGGGCGCTCAATTGCGGAGTATCGGCCGCCTCCGACGAACTTGTGCTTGATGAGGCAACCGAACTAGACGACTCTTGTCGGTCATACTTGACCGCAGCTGCGACGCTGCCAGCTGGCTCTGCATCCAGCATGTTGTCCTTTGAAGCCTTGCGACGAAGGGGCCGGCGCATACGCCGGCTGCGAGCCTCCGACGCGTCTTCTTCGTCGTCCGTAGTAGTGGTTGCTTCCAACAGATCTCCGCCCGATGCGCTTCGAGATCGGTCATGAAGGCGATCGTTGCTCTGGCAGCTTTGCAAAATGTTGTCTCTGCTACCTTTCTTGGAGAGTAGTGTGTTCTGCGAGGAGCTTCTGGCCATACTTGTCTTCGAACCACTCGTGCGAATCTCGGGCTCCAGCAGCAGTGATTTTGAACCGTTTCTCCCAACAGCCGACGATGCCGATCTTGAAAGGTCGACCGCGTCTTCGTCTTCAGACGTCTCCGTTGTCGTGGTCGTCTCAGTTGCGTTGCTCGACTCCACGTTGTACTCCGTTTCTCCGTGATGGTTACATCTTTCACGTTCTTCTCGTTGTCTCGACAGGTACATTTCTCTCTCCTCCTCAGTAAGGTTCATATTGAGCACAGACTTTCGGAAGTCCTTGTTCTGTTCAGTTTCGCATTCTTCTTCACAGGAGGTGCTCGTGGTGGAAGAAATCGCCGCTGCCCTGGGTGGGCTTGGCGTTTTCTTCACTGTTGATCCGTTGAGCACTGGGATTCGGGAGCACGAACTTGTCAGGAACAATGCCCTCGCCGGAGATGCTGATGGACAGAGAGAAGCGCTGCTTCGGCTTCTGGCGGACAGTGCATGGCTCCCTGAACTGCCCCTCCTGATTATCTGTCTTGGTATGGCAGAATTAAATGACGGCGTTCTTTTCGGGCCGCTATATCTGTAAAGAAAGTATATTTGCCTTTAGATCATTAGAGTGGCCTAGTCTCTTTGATATAGTTTTATAGGGAAACAAAGCGAAAGGAAGTCAAGTCCACATAAGTGCTTACATGTTTTCGCTCAAGGGTGATGTTCTAATCAAATTTCATGGTAAAACGAAGAAATATCCACAGTGGCAACCACCTGGATATCGTGGGTTCAATACCGGCCGCATATTGATAGAGGCGAATCATGACCCCACAACACCAGGTGGTCGAAATTTCTGAAGCCCTCCTTCATGGCGTGTTTCATAATCATACCGTCTTTTTGGCAGGTAAAACCACAAAATTTCCTAAAGTTAACTAAAGGGGACTCTGGCGCTGTGATCGTTCACCGACCATAGGAATGACAGGTAGTACAGAGATTTGCCTAGTCTTCGTACTTGCGGGCAGCGAATCACACTTGTGGCTTTGTTTATTGCTCTGTTTCTGTTTTGTTTCGAAAGAAAAAAAATGACGAACCATTTTGAACTTCGTGACCGGATTTGAAACGGTAATCCTAAAAGAATAAGGTGGTGAAGCGCAACTGCTGAACATTCGCTGATTTTCGTTTCGAGACAGAACAGCTCCAAGCCACATCGAACACACACATAGCCAGAAGTACGAAGATTAGACAAATCCGTGTAGTACTCATAATTCCCATGCTTGCTTAAGCGCGATGCGTTGCAGCTCCCATAGACACTAGCGCCAGAGTTCTCTCTAGTGTATATTTAGCAAACTCTAAGGATGAAACCTCAGATACTACCTCAGTAGCAACCGTATACCATCCCTCTTAATGTAATTTGCGTACTTTAGGGAGAAATATGAATTTTGACAGCTTTTGAGACCAAGAGCCAAATTTATCAGGCTTTCGAATGCATTCTTTGTGATTGCCACTCTGCCTAACTAATGTGGCGCCTACCGCAAGGTTGCATAAAATTTTCTCTTATCGCTGGCGTGCGTGTTAAGTAAATACAGATATGTAACTTAATTTCGGGACCTACTACGAAAATTACTTCAAATTGGTAAGACTGAGAATACTGGAACACCTGCAAAGCTTGCAAATGTCTAATTAAGCAGCAAAAATACCTGTGTCGCAATTCATGTGAACTGCATCTATACGAGCACCTAAAGAGGTCAAATTTGATACGTGTGTACATCTAACGTGAAGTTTGTTGAAAACTTAGTAGGGTTTCACAAAGTATGTATTAACGAATGAGTGGCGTTTCACGTGACTACAACCAAATATATTTTTTAAGTGGCTTAGCGCAACTGAATGAAACCTACGACCTATGGTTTACCGTCATGTGACACCAAATAGAGTATTTTTATTGCGCTTAATTCATTATTTACCATTAACTAAGATCTAATATGCAAAATGTTAATATTTACTTTAAAGCTGAGTGTGTTTCGTTGTCGGGGGCATTCCAACACGATGGATCCAATTTTTTGTGGCAACGTACAGCTGCGTGGTGTTCTTTTTTTTTTTCAGCGTTTAGGCATGCAAATAATGAAATAAAACCGCATGACCACGCTAGTGTGGAACTTATGAGTAGCGGTACTTCAGCGTTCTCAAACCTGCTTCAAGCGAAACAACTGGTTCTCTGACCAGGGAGAAATGATTGGCCGCGGCTCCAGGCATTGGCTTCCCTGTGCGCCAGCCTTTTTGACGGCCGCACACGGCACACAGGCGACATCGTCTCTGATAATCGTTAGACTGATAAGCTAGTCCTGTCTAAGTCGACTCTCTGCCGGTGTGGCATTTCTTCTCCGAAGACCTTCCTTCGCACGTGACAAATTGAATTTAAAGCAACAAATAAGCACGACGATGCAGAAATAGATTGTCTACGAAGACAAACTTTTACAGCATGCCAAAATACACAATGTTTCGCGGTTTCTGGTTTCATGAAAGCGTGTAGTGGAGCGTGCGCGTCTACAATACAGCTTCGAACTTATTGCGCAGGGTCACTGGTTGCTTTTACAAGCTGTCCCATGTTATGCTCTCGTGTCCGAAGAAAGTGATGAGCAATGCGTTATTTTCCTCCACTTTATCGTACAGCTTGAAGAGCCACAAGAAACTACCATATGCTAAAGTACTACAAAAAAAAGAAAGGGCGAAGCAACGAATTCGATAGCAATAACTTGAAATGTAACGCTGAGAATGGTAAGCAGATCGAAACGTGCAGCGCGCTGCGCACTCACAAATGACGCATGAGAACAATACACACAGGACGAGAGCTAACTAGCAACACTTAACACTTAACACTCTGTTTAAACAAAAACGATGCACCAAACGTAATCACGGATACGTATGAGTGCAAACTAACATGTGTCTCAGTTGTTACTTCGCTGTGTTTCAAAAGCGCACTCTTTTCACAAACGGCGCCTGTCGAGCCAACGTTATTTCAATGCCAGTGCCAACGCGCGCTTCTCAACGGGAGCTGTCAGTCCGCCTTAATTCAGGGAGTAGTTGAGATGCGGCGCTATATGGGGGGTTGCGTTAAAGCTCCTTATTATAGAAATATCTAGGGACTTCAGGTCGCGCTGCTCGCGTCACACGTGCGTCCGAGCGCTTTCCCCCGAAGATGCGATAGGCGTGCTTCCACATCATACGCCTGTCAGATTCGCTCCTTCACGCTGCTTCTTTCTGGCTCGAGACAATGCCACGTCACAGAGCAGCGCATGCTGAAACGTTGCAGTGACGCTTCCCCATTGGTTGCCCGCATAGCACCACCAACAGCGACACGCTATCTCAAAACACCGTATATTTTACACAGCCAGCGTGACTGCCAATTTTGTGAATACGAGGAATGCAAGACGCCGTTCTACGGATCTGTACACAACTGAACAAAAATTGCTTATGATTTCTGTCATGAGGCAGTGCATGAGGGGCCACTTTCCCCCATGGCCGCAAAGCACAGCCGAAGGCTAGGCGATGGGAGAGAGCGGGAAAGGGCTAGAGGAAAGGGTGGTGAACAGCTGGATCGGGCGCATCTGAATGGCATTGATAAAATAGAGGAGGCGTTGGTCCAGCGAGCGAAGTTATCTTTGCGTGCCCGGCAACTAAACGCAATCGTTCCGGTCAAAGTCAAAGGTGCGCGATTTTTCCCACCAAATGATAAGCGCGCGCGCACAAACATGTAACCCCCCCCCCCCCCTTTCGCAGGGCAAAGTACGCGTGGGAGATAAGCGCGCGTCGATGCATCGCGACGAGCTGGGTGCCGATCGCGAGAGGCTTTCTTTCTTTCTTGAGTTGTCATATGTATAGATACGTATACATGTACGGTGAACGACGCCGACGCCGGCGACAAAAAGCAGCTGAGATTGTCCATATAATTGCTATCGCAATATAAGTACTACGAATCCACTTTACACCATCGCTGGGGCCAGGATGGTAACTGTTTAAAGACCCAAACATGCTTATGAATATAAGCTTATCATTCGCATGGACAAGACAAAATATATCGACCTTAGCAGCACAGACCACACAGTTTCCCACAATACTTACTAGAGGGAACTCTGGCGCTAGTGCCTATGGGAGCTGCAATGTACCGCGCTTCAGCGAGCATGGGAATGATGGGTAGTAAACACATTTGTCTAATATTAGTACTTCTGGCCTGCTTTTGGCTCCGTGTGTGTTCGTGTGGCTTTGAGCTGTTTTCTTACGAAACAAGTATTAGCAAATGTTCAGCGGTTGTGCTTCACCATTTAATTTTTTTTAGACTTACTTTCCAAATTGGCTCACGAAGTTCAAAAGGGGTCAATCTTTCTTTCAAAACAAAACCGAAACGCACCAATAAACGAAGCCGCAAGTACGATTCGCCGCCCGCAAGTACGAAGACTAGGCAAATGTGTGTACTACCCATCAATCCCATGGTCGCTGAACGGTCGCAGCGCCAGAGTGCCCTCTAGTTAATTTTGAGAAACTCTATGGCACAGACCACCTTTAAGTAAACCGCGCAATCAGTCACCACTAGCGCGAGCTATCTATGGAATATACTTGGATACATTTCAGATGCCGGTAGGTGTTGAATACATTGAATGAACATGCTAACTTCTTTCTTAGTCGTCCCTAAGTTCAAAACTACCGTAAAAACATATTCACCAGGAAGTGCCAGCGCTTCACAACATACATAAAAAATCTTGCTTCCTAAATTTTCATCATATTAAAACTGGTTGTTACGTTTTTGTGGGTAAATGTCCCAATATCAGGGTACTTTCCTTTCGTTGAACTTCGCACCGGCGCACTTGCCTTAGCCTTTCTTTGTTTTGTTACATCTTTGGGCTTTCATGTATCTTGAGGATTTACGTTGCATTATCTGAACCATTTTTTTTGTCCACGTGCTGTTTGTTTTGTTATATTATACAAGAAAAGTCTGATGAAACAATCAATTTATTTCATATTCAGTTAAGTATGCATGTAACTTTTTTTTTTTTGCTTCTGTGGACACTCTTTGCATCCCGTTACCATGTATGAAACATTGATTTATATTATGAGATGACAGCGCGTTCGTGGTCGGAATCTGCCTAGCCCTTGGCATTAATTCTACGACTATTTTCGGTACATTACAGAAATAAAATTATCAATCTTTTTCGTGCTATAATGCCTAAAAAAGTACATATGGGGGAGCACGGCCAGTGCCAAACTAATGTTGAACGCACACTGTGTAGCTGGTGCGTTCGGCTTACGCTAATGACATTTTTTGAGAGGGTGGGGAGGGGGGGTGGTCATTTTTTTATCGTTTCAACTTCCCTTTACCTGATATTTTGCGCTTTTGTTATAATTACAAAGAGAATCTCCTGTGTTTGCCTTGGCTTCGTATGCATAGCTTCGTATGGCTGCGTCTGTCTAAATTCGGGCCCCTCAATCAGTTCCGCTTTTAGTTTACGTGTGTTAAGAAAATGTATGTCCATATTTTTAACCTTGTAGAGAATACCACACGTTCTTCACTTGTGCTGAGGCTTGTTGTTCCCAGCATTGTTTCACTGAATCGCGAATGGATGCCCTGACATAACTGCAACTAAACTTTTATTGGTGGTGTAAGTACGCGCATGCGTCTGTTGTTACAATGGGGTGTAAAACACACAAAGTATCGCTACTTCTTATTTTTTTCATGGTGAGCTTAATAAACTGTGTTGAGTTTTATTTTCTTTAGGCGTAACTTCAAACACCGCATGAATTCTTAACATACGAGACAAATATTGCGTTAAAGCTTCCACGAATAGTGTGGAGAATCTTTATATTAGTAAAAAGTATCGACATATTTATTCAAGGAATGCAGCAGATGGAACAGATGAATAATAACAATTGTTTGGTTTTAACGTCTATATGATTGAGAGAGACGCCGCAGGGAAGGGCTCCGGTAATTCCGACCACGTGGGGTTCTTCAACGTGTTCCTCAATCTATGCATACGGGCCTCAAGCATTTCCGTCTCTATTGAAAATGCGGCTGGGATTCAACATTCGGGTCAGCAGTTGATCACCATCACCACTAGACCAAGTAGAGCAGAATTGAGGCGACATAAAGCCATGCCATTCTGCTATATGTATTGTACAAACGGGACGCACTTCAACCAACTAAAAAAGCCCAAACTTCATATAACTTAGTAATGATAACAATATTTTTTTTCTCGCCTTTAGCCAGTTGATTTTTGAAGTCTTGGATTTTTTCGTAATGTACAAAAAGGGGAGCCACTTTTAATAATGAGTGGACAACATCGTTCATGATTGGGTTATGTGAAGATTAAATATCAGAACGTTTTAGGGTGGCGTCCGCACTATACCACTGCTGTTAGACTGCCGATCGCCTATAGAGGCAGCGTACACGTTACCTTATCTGCGCGGCATGCTTGCATGCAGGTAAAGCATCTGCACAAGTGGTAGTGCTAAGCGCTGCAGCAGGTGAGAGGTGTACCATACGAGCAGTGTAACGTGACAGCGTTAAAGAGCTCGTTTCGCAGAAATTCCGGCGTTGGCGTCGTTGGGTGTGACCAAAAAATTATTATTTTATGCGTGACCGAATAATCGAGAACGATGCAAATGAAATAAAAAATCCTGGGTCAGAGTGGGAACTAAACCAGTGTCGTTTGGGCCCTGAGGACACGATGGCTAGTGCACAACACGCAATGGGTTGTCCCAATGGCAAACTAACAACAACAGTTCTTGCAACCGAGGTGGTGGTGGCACAGTCCGCGAGGGGAGGCACAACACCAAAAGATGGGAGTGCAAATAAATAGGCATCCGCTGGGGCACCCAACGCACTGCTCTGTAACGTCGCCTCAGTTTTGCGTGTAAAGCGGATGTTCTACCACACGGCCACGCCTCTGCTTGTGAATGCAGTGAAAATAACTTTCTCTGCTTGGAAATACAGTGAAAATAACTTTCATGCTTTACAAACACACGCGTCCTGTATACATTCTTCACAATGCAACATGAAATATTGCAGTAATAATGCGTAATACGAGTGCCCATTACAAACGGGCGTCATAACATGTGACTATCATAATGACATCGTGGTTTAAAGCCAGTAACCCACTACAAAAGGCACACTCGCTGCGGCGCGTATTTCCTGAAGGCCACGTAGTGGGTGCATAAGAAGTTCGAAAGGGTTTCATGCACTAAGTGTTTGAAGTGCGCGAAGCTTTAGGGTCCCCTAATTTTTTGTTTCGCTATTTTAACACCTACGCCATTTGCAGCTAACTCGCTGTTTCTGAGAGGATGGAGCATGGTGCACCATCGCGCTTACCATGAAAATTATTCAGAGGTATTCGGTACCCTCAAGTCCAAATAAGACTAAGTCAGCCTTGGCTCAGATTATCTGAACCACCATATAGGCATGACTTGTATCAAAGATAAAGATATCAAGAGATTTCAGCATGGACACAGACTTTGTAACGAGGCACAGTCATCTAATCAGCTACCAGATACTCTGCGCCGGCAGAAAGGGGTATAAGACGAGTGGCCATGAAGATCTATGGAGGGAAGTTTTTGAAAAAGGCTTGGGATCCCTACCTGTCCTGTTAAGACAATAAAGTGAAACATTTACCTGTCTCGAAAGGGCATATTTACCAACCCTGGAAATAATCGTCCTCTGAAAACGGTTGCCTGTAAGTTTACGTTGAATTTTAGCTTTGGTAGTCCGGAATATTCTGGAAAGTCCCATTGGCTACCCGGCGCTTTTAGTATCCGTCTTAGTTGACGAGACGCAGTCGGAAGCTCGTCTTGGAAAAGAAAATTGAAAGCTGTGGTTTTTGGTCATCGAGAACCTTCCTTATTCGCTACAAATTGACGCAAAGCATCGCAAGGGGATCATTGTATATACGAAAGGTAGGACGGTTATTGATGCTAGAGATACTTTCATTGCGCATGAAATCACTTGCAGGACCTCTTTCTTGCTTCGATGACAAGCTTCAGAATTTTCCGTTCTATACATACGCAACCATCGCTGGTGCTTTCCCGCCCTACACATGTGAAGTCTTAGCCAGTAACTTATCTGCGTGCACATATTCAATTCACGCGTTTAATAGAAACTTTTATACCCGCGAGGGATACACCGAACGTAGCGAGCCTAAAGTAGACTTGAAATTCGGTTTATTGTATAGGCACTAAAATAGGGCTAATCGCCCTCCTGGAACAGGATTTACGAATCCACATACATGCACTCGTCGTCTCTAAGAATGAGAAAAAGCCAATTGAAATAGACAGCGCGAAGGGAAGAAAAGTGCTTGCGAGGCTGTTACTACAGTAACGCTTCATTCGTTGAGCGCCAGATACGATAAGCTAGATTTTCTCTCTTCGAGTATAAAAGATGATGATGGTATATGATGTTTAAATGGTGCAAGGGCTAGTAAGAGCCGGAGAGAGCCTAATCATGGTAACGGACATATAAATTGAGCGTAATAGAAACTGTAGACAATCATACTATTTGTTTACAAACAGGAGCGCAGAGAGCGGCTGATCTCACCACGTGAACGAAAAAAACACTCGCGCACCTTGAAGAGTCCAAGTCTGCGGAGTCCACCTGTAGACCACCGGCTCGCCGGACTGTGGCCTGCTGCCTGGACGCCAATTGCCGGTCAGGATCGTCGTCCCCCGCCGCGTCGGTCTCCGAGGTACTTTGATTCACGCCGCCATCTGCCTGGTTTTCCTCGTCTCCACTTTGGTCGTCATCGCTTTCCTCCGAGTCGGATGTCGAAGTGAAGTCGGCCGGGGCCAGACCACGCTTGCCGCACTTCGATTCGGATTTGACCAGGTTGGAATCGTTCGTCACCTGAGTAAATATATGCGAAAACTCACTCGACAGCCAAATAACAAGTAAAACACCCTTGGACAGCTTTGGCTGACATTCTTCAAGCCGCGACTTCAGTCGACAGCATCGCTGGTCTTCTTTAGAGTTTTAGCAATGAGTGCAGAGCTACTGCTTACAAAGATTGCTATGAACTTTCTGCTGCAGTGCCGCAATGTAGCAGGCTGCTGTGGCAAACGAAGTACTGTTATGCTCTGATTTCCGAAATTAGCAGTTGCGTCATTGGCAAAGGCAAATTTTCTTAGTAAGCACTGAACCAGATTTTCCACACTGTATTACGAGCAACTGCTAAATGAAATTTAACATGATAGAGGCCAGTCTGGCAAATGAGGTACGTGAAAACCTGTTGGTTAAAAGTGTGGTTCGCAACAATAAAAAATTTTTTATATCGGCTGTATCACGACGCCATGATGTTCAATAGAATGGATGATAACATCACATCTTTGAAAATAATATTCGTTCTCGTTGCACAGCATATTAGGCCCAATGCCCCACACTACAAAACAGCGGTGGGTTTCACGGTCACTATTCAATGACCTGTGAGATCGTCAGCCTTGTCGGAAAGCTTTAACGATTGACTACTTCATATAGAAAAGCATTAACATACCTGACATCTAATATTCGTACCATTCACTTACGCATTTCACATTCGTTTATATTGTTTCACACTATTCTTACTTTCTTTTCTCTTTTCTGGAATCTTTTAATCCCGTTCCCCATCTCTATGCAGTACAGGATGAGAACATGAGGCTGTGTAGCATGCGTGTATGCAGCTGTATGTTAGCGGCTGTGTGCACGCGAGCAAAAATCGCTATTTTTTTCGATAAACAGTCTCTATCTACATAATATGCCAAGGTGACATTCTTGCCGTCCTGAAGACAAGGTAGACACGTTTCAATCAGTCTTTTGACAGACAAACTGTCGGCTCCTGTTTCGTAGACGAAGACAGATTCGCGAGAACAGCGTGCCCTTGCTGTGAGCAACCTGAACATGGTGACACGCGTATGTCTTCGACGAAACATTTGTGCGCATCGGCAAGTTGTTCTTCATCCAATGGATCCCATGGCGTGCTTTCAACACCGCGAGATAAAGCAGTGGAGCTGATGTTTGTAGGTTGCATCCATAGAACAAGAATAGCAAGTTCCGCTATTGTCCTTGACACATTAGAGCTTGAACGCAAGCGCAATATCACGCAATCTTCTTTCCAGGTTGACCAGGTGATACCAATAAATCAGTGGTGAGTGTATGTCGCTCATGGTATACTTGGTCCTGTCTTTTTTGTTCGCGTAATTGTGCTCAAATAGTTTAAACAAAACAATAAAACCAAAACATCGGTATTTGTATAGATATATATACTACACAGCATGTTTACGTGCTTCTTGAGGTGCGCCATGCCTGCAAGACCACCTGCGATGAACGGGATGACGGGCGCTTCTTTGAGGGCGCCGGTCCACGACAAGTGTGAACTTTTCTTCCCCTCAACAACTATTCGGACGAAGCTGAGAATCCTAGAATAGATCCGTGTAATAGTCTCGGTGACCATCATTAAGTTGGCTGCAGTTATACGGCATGTGCTTTCTATGTATCTTAGTCGCGGGCACTCAGAATAAGCGCTACCGCACTCGGCACAAGCAGGCCTTCAGTTGTTTTGTGGCCTATAGCTATAATTCGGCACAATCCAAGTGCTTACAGCACGAGTGCTCCTGACAGGCAAGGTGGCATGAACGTTGATTGATACCAAAAACGCTTGTTTACCGGCGCAGGCTTAGTGTAAATGCGTACCGGCGTTTAACACGAGCTTCGTGATTTAAGGGACCCACTTTTGAAACTTGGAAATGGCGAAGTGCCATTTGTTTCGAAATACGCTGTTGCCGCGTGACGCATCGCCCCGTTTCCTTACGTCACACATGGCGCCTCCCATGATGGATCAGTTCCTGACGCACTGGCTGTGACGCAGGGTACCGCTAGCCAGAAGTAGCACATCGTGCTGGAACACAATTGTCTTGGTCATTATGTCATGTATAATTATCCTCATTTTTAAATAGAAAGTTGTAGCAGACTAATAGATTTTGAACCAAGCTCTTCAACACTCGTGTAATGCCCCATTTTTAGCGTGTATCTGCGAAATGATGTGTTCGAGTTACGGGAAATCACGAAGGTATGGCAAACTCCAAGTGTTCATGTATCCTCAGTTGATTCAATTGTGCATGCTTCGCGAGTCCTCAGTTCACAACTATCGCTTTAGGGCGCTTTAGATTTTGCCACAAGAGCCATCATTTATTACAAAGCTTACACGTCCGCGGACCACTTTATTTTTATTTTATTTTTCATCCAAATAAACTCACCATACTCTTTGAGTACTCACGAAGTGAATGCCTCCTCTATATACTCATTGAAGATTCCAGCGACTACAGGGATGCAGGTTAATAGTTTATTACTTGAAAGAGTGCTGGAAAAAGGAGTTCGAGTACGTTATGCTGTTTAGTCAGGCAGAAGTCATTAACTGGGTCGAAAAGATCATGGCGAGGTACTGGGCACCACTCTTCAAACCAGCGTCAAGCTAAATTCAACAACTTCGTTTTGCCGTCAATAAGGTTGCTTCTATTTCTCTTAAAAGAGCTGTAAGGCCCTTCTAAATAAATAAAAGCTTGTTATTTTTGCTGTTTTTATTATCGGAGTGAGAGGACAGCAGAGATTGATTGGAAGAGGTTTTCATCTAGCCTGCTACAACGCATAGCGTAACAGGAGAGTGCCAAGGAAAAGGAGGGATAGAGAGTGTGCGTGGTTGGCGATGGATGTGTATGGTGAGCTATGTACACGTGCGATGGCTTACATCTACGTGTAGATGGAATCACTCTCTGTATTTCGTGCCGACTGGTTGTGCCCTTGCGATTCCCGACGACCGCGCAGCTCTGACCGAGCTGCGCTGTCGTTGGGGATCGCCTACATCTACGTGTAGATGTCTGTGACAGTGAAATGTCAGACTGGTGCAGTTTACCTGAGCTTCAGCCGTGTCTGGCTGCTTTTCATCGGATCTTGCAGGGACATTGACGAAGCTTCTGGACTCTTCTCGAGATGGCATGCCGGATGGCGCTTGCACGTTGTCCTCCTCCTTGGACTTGACGGAGTAGCTCCTCGACACCGGTGGCTTGGAGGCGCCTCCCTCCTCGCGAAGAGCCAGGCTTCCGAACATCTTGACAGCGTTGGCCACGCTGTTTCCCCCTGATGATGGACGCCTATAAGTGCTGTAAGTGCTACTGGTGGGCGTCGTTCCCGGTGTGCCCTGATGCGAAGACTGCCGGCCGTAAGTGCTGCCTGGTCGCGGCAGCGTGCTCGACCTGCGAAGCCCACGAATGGGCGTGTTGCGACGCCGGTTAACTGTTGCACAAGAAAATGACACGTGTAGTTTTTGGGACAACAGGTTATATACAATACATTACAGAACAATTCTTTCTGCATTCAGCGTACAGTAAAGGCAGCTTGATTGATTGATTTGTGAGGTTTAACGTCCCAAAACCATGCTATGATTATGAGAGACGCTGTAGTGGAGGGCTCCGGAAATTTCGACCACCTGGGGTTCTTTAACATGCACCCAAATCTGAGCACACGGGCCTACAACATTTCCGCCTCCATCGAAAATGCAGCCGCCGCAGCCGGGATTCGAGCCCACGACCTGCGGGTCAGCAGCCGAGTACCTTAGCCACTAGACCACCGCGGCGGGGCTAAAAGCAGCTTGCCGATTCGCTGACTGATCGCTAGTAAGATGACAAGAAATACAGTCGATCTAACCAGCTAATGGCGCAGTTCACGGAATTGAAAAAGAAGCAGCACCGAACTTGAAGTCCAACGCCGAAGCTCTCGCTATAGATATGTTTAGTAAAAGAAGACACCAAAGCTCTGTATTTGAGACATTATAATCTTCGCTTGGACGCGGAAACACATGACTTCTGCTTTTCTGAATGACGTGGTGAACTGCACCACTGCAAATGTACTAAGACACCTTCACGACTACTGAGAGACTTGAGGCACCCCTGAAAAACAAGTCGATTTACACAACTCAATTAACTTGTGAAACATATATATTGCAGACGCTGCGCAAAACGTTATAGCGCACAAACTTGAAAGGTTCAACGCCTGTGTGATGCACTCCGTAAAAATTCTCTATACCAACGCGCTTCAGATGTCCGGGGCATAAAATCATGCATCCGCCCTTCGATTACTGGCACTGTTCTGTATAATATTCAGACAAGCTACCTGCACACTTCTATATGTTATCATAGACTGGCAGCGCAACCACGCACAGAGAGAAGAAAAATGAACACGAAATCACACAGCGCTGCTTCACAAATGGCCCAAGTTTCAGTCTGCTGGCTTCTATTATATCACATCTAGCGAGTACCCCCCACGGTGGTCTAGTGGCTAAGGCACTCGGCTGCTGACCCGAAGGTCGCGGGGTCGAGTGCCAACCGTGGCGGCTACATTTTCGATGGTGGCGAAAATGTTTGAGGCCCGCGTGCTTAGATTTAGGTGCTCGTTAAAGAGTACCAGGTGGTCTAAATTTCCAGAGCCCTCCACTATCACGTCTCTCATAATCATATGGTGGTTTTCGTACGTTAAATTTCAACAATTACTAATTACATCAGGCGAATGCCTAAACGTGGGGCATCGCCTCGCTGCGCGTGTATCCGAAAAGGCTGCGTGTTGGCCTTGCCATTTATTTTTGCCATAAGTAGCACACCAGCCCAGACTACCAAATATATACAGCACACCCTCACCCACACAAAAACAAGAAAGGGGGAAGGGCAGATTGAGCTTGCCTGTTGTAGTCCGATGCGTAGCCACTGTTGCGGCTGCCGTAGTCTGACCCATAGCCACCCGACCGCCCGTAGTCGGATGTGTACCCAGCGCTGGGACTTTTCCCGTAGTCCGACCCATAACCGGATCCGTATCCCGAGCCGTAGCCCGAGCTTGGCCGACTGCTTTTGCGGCCGTAGTCAGAGCCGTATCCAGAGCTCGATGCCTTGTAGCTCGGACTGTAGACGCTCAGGGTCGGTGTGCGAGTGCCGCTGTAGCGACCGCTGCCGCCGTACGATGGCTGCACGAAAAAGAAATAAAGAAAATGGCTCACCTTTTCAAATATTTCAGACCTGGAGCTTCGCACAGACTCTTATGTCACCGGTATACTTTTTTTTTCTGATGATAATTATGTCCGCCACGAGGTTTAGCTGTTGCGGTGCTGGGTTACTGACCCGAAGGTCGCGGGTTTTAACGTGAAGCAATAATAATAATAATAATAATAATAATAATAATAATAATAATAATAATAATAATAATAATAATAATAATAATAATAATAATAATAATAATAATAATAATAATAATGTCATTAAAATGACTTTTGAAACACTCGTGAGCGTATACTGCATGTGCTTTCGCTTCGCGCGTGTGTTTTGTTCGACCCTTACGTTAAGCTCCGTAATCCACTGATCCCATTCGGTATCCTTCATAGGCTTCATGAGCTCATTCATATCGTCGCAACTCGGAAGAAAACAACATGGCGCTTTTCGAAGTCGATGGCATAGAGAGCCCGGCGTGGACAAGATTGTGAGACGCTATCACATGGCAGCGCAGCGACTTTCATAACAAAACGTGTGGTAGTCTTGAGCATTGAAATCGTTCGTAAGTGGCATCGTTTGCCTGAAAATCGCTATTCGCTCAAGTTGTTACATTTGAGAGTACAGCTGTTATGCCCGTCGCTTGTCTGTCTAGCGGTAAAGACAAGAAACTCATTATAACGCCATCAATATCATTCTTTTTCTTCTCCTGCTCTGCATCATCATCATAATTATTATTATTATTATTATTATTATTATTATTATTATTGTTGTTGTTGTTGTTGTTGTTGTTGTTGTTGTTGTTGTTGTTGTTGTTGTTGTTGTTGTTGTTGTTGTTGTTGTTGTTGTTGTTGTTGTTGTTGTTGTTGTTGTTGTTGTTAGTTCATTCGTTAGCATATAGTGCAGTGAGATATGGGATAACAGTTTTTGCATTTTGCTCAGAACGCTGGAATACACGCATTGATAGTTCGAAATATTTTTAAAAGTGTAGCTTACGGTATTAAGATAGATTCCAGTACTATTTTCCGGTATTTGGTCTTTTGTGTATTCCAGGATTTGTTCATTAAGACAGTTGTTCTAAGATACAATTGGTGTGATGACTTTAAAGGGCCATATGTAACGCGTCGACCCCTGAGAGAAAAAAAAAACCGTTTTATAGTACCCCGGTTTTCTACCAGATATGGAGAAGCATGTAGATGTGTATATATTCCAAAAATTTTCAATGCACTACCTGACGAATTTTTTTCAGCGAGTTCAAAAAAGCAATTAAAGAAATTACTCGCTGAGCTGTAAAATCGCATGGTCTATTTGTATGCCACGTATGCTTGTGTCCCTCCTTTGTTCCTTTTTTTTGTTTACTGCCTGTAAAAAAGTAATGGTGTCAATTGTTTATCTGTCCGTTGGCAAGGAAGCAACAATTGTTTTGTTACCTTGTATCCACATCGCTGGAACCGGCTCTGCCGGACCTAGTCGCACAAGCCCTGGGGACATAGACAGGCCCGTTTCTTTGTATTTCTTATGTATGTGTACAATAAAGTATTTATTATTATTATTATTATTATTATTATTATTATTATTATTATTATTATTATTATTATTATTATTATTATTTATTATTATTATATTATTATTATTATTATTATTATTATTATTATTATTATTATTATTATTATTATTATTATTATTATTATTATTATTATTATTATTATTATTATTATTATTATTATTATTGCTGCTTGTAGTGCCGTTCCTTCAAGAAAAAATCTGGCATCTTTTGTTTCATGGTTCATCATGTCCCGCATAGCGCCAAGAGTTCTAACCATTGACAATTAACATCAATAAATTCGGACGATCACGTCTGAAAAAAAAAAATACTCTCTTTGCTCTACTGCTCTTAGAGGAAACTTTCTCGGAATTCTATCAACTAGAGCAACTTTGCAGATAAAGAAGTGTTGCCGCTTGAAATCTGACAAAATACTGCATGGAAAAGCACTCACCGAGCCGTAGGTGGAGCTCCGAGGTGACGTGCTGTTGGCGGAGTAATTTCCGGAGCCACCATAACGAGACGCACCACCGCTGCCGGTGCGCTGCGCGTAAGAGAAGAATTATGTCAGACACATTGTCATAAGCAGCAATAGCAATCCTAATAGTTAGGCACACTTAATTTCGTTTAATAACCTGTGCAGTACACGTACTTCAACAGACCTGCGGCTTGTGTTTCTACTATCGGTAAGCCTTGTCTTGCCACACATAAAGATACATGCCTTGTCTTGCCACGCATAAAGATACACACTTTCTTTTTGGTCCTACATTTCTCCTACGATAGTATAAAGATCTCTAAAAAGAGTTCCGCGTGTTTTTTTTTTTTTTTTAAGAAAGGGTCGTACACGTCAGGAGACAATACTCGCAAAAAAGAGTCAAATGACTTTTCTCTTTTTCTCTCTTTCTCTTGGAGTTCTGACAAAGGTTGCGGCGACGTTGCTAAAACAACAAGCAATGCATTAGGGCTTCTGAAAAAAACCGAAGAGATCAAGAACTTGGAAATTTTTTTACCACTCACAACTCTGATGCTTACATCAGAAGGGTTAGTTAATCGAGTTGGTGAGCTACAGACTTGTACGTACGTATATACCATTTTACAAGTAATTGACTACTTGTAATAAGTTAAATTTTCTTGTATTTCGTAATATAATCAATTACTTTTTCGAGCTGTAACGTTCCGGGTTTATTACCAGTAATCAATTACTTTTTTTTCAAAAATCAAGTTGTCACCAGTCTTCTACGGCAGTTCTAGACTCGAAAAATATGCGAACGCTCTGTAAAAACGCCTCGTCTAATACCAGACGGGGGTCCCTACAGGGCCTATATTTTCACCTTTCACTTGGCCTTATCTGCCACCCCTTACCCAAGCTCCAATATCAGCGAAGCGTGCCGCTTCATGGAGGACATGGACGCTATAACATCGAAGCACTGTGCAACTATGTGTTGGTGCGCAAGATTTTCTTGTGCGTTATAATATTGTCATTCCCTCCAGCACGTATATGCAGAGAGTGTTCAGTGTCGCAGCTGACCTATAGCTAAACAAGGAAACGGTGAACAATCAGCGACGACAAGATTGAAAAACAACTTTTCTTGAAAGTTGACAACTTGCAACACTATATCACTCAAGTCACGGTAAGCCTCCCAACCTTCACGCCACTCTTCACGCAAGCCTCCGGCCT